TTATTTTGCTGTCTGAAATTCTAGCAATTTTATCAAGCCAAAGAATATTCTAACATTTTAGAAATATGGAACTATTCTTCTCAAAAATATTTTCTCTGAGAAAATATATTTATTTTGGATGATTAAATAAAATTTAAATGACCATTCAGTTATTACTCCCTTCTAGAATTGTATTAACTTTTAATCTGTTTTTTCTCCTTTTTTTTCTCTTAAAATAATTTTGGGTTAATGGATAAAAAATATGTATAATTTATTTAGTGTAAGCCTTTTTTTCTCTCACACTAGTTTCCCTTTATTTATTTTATTTTGTCATATTTTAACTGTCTTGAAGCTTGTATCTCGTTCTTTATGCTGTTAAAATCTTTGAGTTGATGTGATTATGCTTATTGTTGGATAATCTGAAACTTTATAGATTAAAAACAAAACTAAATTTTGTTGTTTGAAATAAAAAAAGAGAATATATTTGAACAAATGAAAAACACTTTAAATTCTATTCAACTTGTTTTATTCTTTTTTAAAGACTTTCTTGCCAAAGCTGTTACACTTTGTTAAAAATGTTAAACAAATGAAACTTAAAAACTAACTTGAAATATCATGACCTGTTTCTTATAAGAGATAAGCTCACAATTCTATCAAAGGCACGAATAAAATATGCTTTTCTTTTATAAAGTTTGCTTTAAAATAATAACACCTATTGATATACAGGGGTATGAAAAACAAAACATGCACAAAAACATATTGTACTGATTATGCAAATCTATCAGTAATAACATATATAGTACTGTATATCTACTTTTGCATATCCCTGTATGCAAAATCATATAATGTAATCTATGTCAATGCAAACAGAATTTGTATCAAAGTGCACAATAGCTCGCTAATCTACAGATCTAATTATTATATCAAAAATATTAAAAGTCCACAATACTTATCAAGGTTTGACTCTGAGCTTTCATGATACTTCACTCTTCAGGACCCAGATAATATTTATTACTTACTTAAAGATTTCTTAAGTTCTACACTTATAAATATGTATAAGTGCTAATTTTTCAGATATATTAATAACATTAAAATGTTCCCTGTGATATAAGTGCTTGGTACTTCTATGTTTCCATGTCCTTTCAAGGGATCATGATTCTCCACAACTTCCAGTCCTTTGTAGCTCTTAATAAATTTTGTCTTTCCGTTATCCTCCTAAACCCTGTTCTACCATCTACTTACTCAACCTCAATAGGTACGTTATGCTGTGTTGTTTTCCTCTGTTCCTTTTGCTTTCAATCTGTTCTTCTTTATGTGACCTAGAAATTTCAAATGTCACCTTCTGTTGAATATTTTTTTCATTATTTGTGCAGTCATTTTCTATTCAAATGTTATTTAAGTTTACTTTTAAAATTTCTCTGTAATAAAATCTGTGGTGGTTTAGTAAAAGTAAGTCTTGAAGCTTTATCTTATTCTATAGATGCTTTTGAGCAAAAACAGTACATGTGATTATCTTTAAGTAAGCTAAGAATTTTTTCCTGGAAAGAATGTATGCAATCTTCAAAATGTGGACTCACTGCTATATTGGTCTTTTTGTTTGACATTATCTGAATGCTATTATGTTTGACTGATTTCTTCCAAATTGGGTCTTTCAATTTACTCAGCAGTAGTGTTCATCTTCACTGCAAAGAGAAGATGAGCTGGCTTACCCATTTGTATAATTCTTTGGCGTGTTATTGAATACTTATCTTTTTGAACATGCATTACAGTCTTCCAAATTGCTAAGAATATCAGTGCTTACTCTCGGCAGCCATGAGTCATTCTTTAAATCCTCTATTCAGGTTGTATGACTTCTATACACAAATGTTTACGGTAATGGGGAGATTAACCATTTACATACAGGAAACATTCTGCATTCATTGACTAAACAGTTAACATTACCATTGGTTGAAATATATAAAATCTTTCTCTTCAAACAGTTTTTCACGAAAATAGGCTTCTCATCCACTAACTGTTATGGTTCTTTCTAGTATTTATAAGAGTTTCCTTTCTACCCTATTGTTTAATGCAGAAAGTAACCGTTTTGATTATATTATTATTTTCCCTTTTATTTACATGTATTATCCATTTTAGTTGTTGCTGCTGTTAGAAGTATTCAAGTGATGTGGTTTTTGTTATCTGGTAAAGTTCTTTGTTTTTGATTTTGTGGCACTAATCTATAAGAGCTGATGAAGAATTCTCTTTAAGACTTAAGGAGTTCATTCACTTGAAGCCATTTTTAATCATTGATCTGAGAAAAAGGTTTTGTATAGTTGATAATTTAGATATTTCTGAATGAGTTGGATGCCATTCATGACATCCACCTGAGAGTCTAGATTTGATAAGAACATGTCTCAAGTTCTTGTGTTAATGTTTTGAATAGTTTTTCTTTGATAAAATGTGAAAAGAGTGGACAGAAGTTTGTTTGTACATTTCTTTCTTAAATAACAAAAAAAAATCTCTTCATTTTTAAGATTTTTTTCTCAGCTGATATAGCTCCCTGGATTTTAAAAAATAATTTACGCCTATTTTACAACTGCAAATGTTAATTTGAACACAATTTCTGTATTCTACTAATTTTATTTTGATACTTTTAATGGCAATATTATCAACAACTATTAAGCAACAAAAGTGCTTGATAATTTTGTGGGAGATGTTTTTACTTTTCCAATATAAAAATATGTACATAGATTTTTTTAAATTTCTCAATAGGAGTATATAGGTTTACCTATCATCCAGTTTACACTCCTCTCCAATCTTTTGAACAGGAGTAGAGGTTTATACCTTCTTTCTTGTTTAGGATCAGGTTTCCAGTTCCTTCTAAAGTCTACTTCAACTCTATATTTCTAGCATATCTGAACTATGAAATTTTATTTACTAATTATTTTTAACTCAATAGGAGTAGATAAGTTTGCCTGGTTTACACTCCTCCCTGATCTTTTGAACAGAAGTAGAGGTTTATCCTCCGTTTCCTGTTTAGGATTGGGTTTTCGGTGCCTTCTAAAATCTTTTCATTCTCTTTCACTCTCTGTAGCCCCTTGCTTGGGGTGAATTGATTAAAAAAAAAAAAAAAAAGTTTTCATAGGATGGCTGATCTTGGAAAATTCTCAAATTCCTTACTCATGCTCTAAAATTTTAAATTACAAATTAATGTGTCAAGCACTTGTCAGAAATCATCCCAAAGCTTTTTATTTTTAGTTACAGTTAACAATATTGCTCCATTATATGAGGATTTCTTTTTATATTCTGACATCATTCACTTGTAAAGCTAGAAAAGATTAAATTCTTACATTAAAAAAAAAAAAAATTAAGAAAATATTCAACAAAATGTGTTCAATAAACTCCATTTAGATGGATGATTGAGCAAAAAAAATTATATAACTGCAATTTTAACAATTTCACAATTTTAGTTATTAATTCTTTCAACATGCATTTTACAAGATTCATTTGGACTTGTTTGTTTCTTCCCTCCCTCCTTTTCTTCCACATAAAATTATTGTTGATATCAAGACATGTATTGGAGTACAGCCATATTTTATTGTAACTTGTTTTATTTCTTACTGGAAACCAATTCTCCTGCAAATGCAACAGATAACAGGAAGTTTTCACAAATTTAGATTAATTTTTGTCTCTTTTTAAACTGATAGAAAATAAAATCTGGAATAATTTAAAGGCCATAGAAACCAATGCACATAACTGATGTTTGTGGTTAAAGTAGATTTATTTTATTCAATACAATGTATTGGAGAAACATCTAGTGTTTAATATTATACTGAAAAAACAATTTTCTATATGCAAAAGTGTTCATAATAATGCCACTTTATTTCAGAAGTATGATTGAAATAGCTTTATTTAAAGTGATAAAAACAGACTTTTTAAAGCAAGAAAGATGAACAAAGATGCAACAAATAAAAACTAACTGTAAAGTAGTAATATCAAAAGACTATAAAGAAAAAAGTAGTTTTAGCAGCAGTCCTCTCTTAACTGAGTACAAGAAATACACACTGACTAAAATGAACATCAAAGACCAAATGTTATATAAAATATATAACAATTACTGACTCCTTACATTGAAGCCTAACAACTACTCCTCCTGCTTTAATTAAATTTTGTACCTTAGCAAAAAAAATATTTAAAGATCTTTATTTAAAAAGCAACTGATCAAGTGTCTGTTCATAATGATTGGTTATATTTCACTTTGTATATTAACTGGCTTACAGCAGTATGTAGATGGGTGACCATTTGGGAATATCAGGTACTGTAAGCTTGGACGTGAAAGTGATATAATGGATAATGGCTTGGAATTGTTAATCAGATAGCAGAGTTCTAATTCCAGATGGGTTCGCTATATTCACTTATGGGCAATACCTTTGGGAAAGACATGAATCCACCATTTCTCCCCACCCTAGCTATTGGTTAATTAGTAAGACTTGTGTCACTAAACCAGTATTATTTTCTGACTTTAAATAGCCTGAAAAGGGTTGATAAGCCATAGAAAACAAATCATTGTCTCTTGTAATAATGTATCTTGCATTGGTTCATTTAAGAGGTTTTCCTATTTTTACCATTTTATAAATTGAGTTTGATTTTTAACAATCTAAAGATAAAACTATAGAAGATATTTGCTAATAGGATACTTAATTATTTACATTATTCATATTTGGACTATCGAAACTTGATATTCGTTCATTGTTCTTTTGATAAAAAAAAAAAAAGGATTATTATCCCCCTCCCATTTTTGCAATCTAAAAATATTTTCTGGCTTTAAATTACCTGAAAAGAGTTAAGCTGTAAAAAAACAAAAAAAAAAAAATGAACCAATCAAATGGAATGTATATAACCATTTAAAATGTTTCTTTTTATCTAATATTGATATAGAATTCTTTTACTTAAATTTTCTTTTTCTGTGTTGATTTATAATCCGTATATATATAAAGTTAATATTCTCAGTATAATCATTTGATATTTCATTTAAATTTTAGCTCTTGATTGGTTTTGAATCGGGTGCAGTGGTCTTGTGGGATTTAAAAAGCAAAACAGCCGAATATCGATTTAGCACTCCTGAAGTAAGTATTCACTTCAAAATTCTCTTCTCTCTTTTAATGACTTCTCTTTCACAAAATCACTGCCTGTTTGGATCTTTCACATAATATTTTTCTGATTTTATTTTCAGGCATTACGGTCTTTATCTTGGTGGTCTGACGGCAAACAGTTCATGGGCAGCCATTCTGATGGCAGCTTAACAACATGGAACCTAAAGACACCGCTGAAGGCCGCGAACATTCAGATGCCTCATGGTATGTGAAGATTCTTATAATTTTAAACGGCATTATTTCCAGTGCAATTTTTATTTGAAAATGCCAGCTTTTGTGTGGGAAGTTGTCTTTTATGTTTCATCATTCTTTAAAAAGAATTGATTGCTTAGTGTTTTCTTTCTTTTTTTTTTTTTTTTTTTTTTTTTAATTAAGAAACAATTATTCTAATAAAGTATAATTATCTCTGTGGAATCGGATGTTCAGATTTGTGTTGAATATATTTCTTTTTGTGCTGTATCTGGTTTCTTAGTGCCATGTCTGAATTCATCTATTAACTATGATTAAAAACAAAAAATGTAGCTAAATTTAATGATAAAGTTCTAAAAATTTTAATGCCATTTGATAGATTGACTATTGAATATTACAATCTACATTTTCATTTACAGTGTTTTTTGACAGTTTACAGTAGAAGGTTAAATTAAGTGTATATCATGAACTTCATAGCAAAAAGTGTTTGTTTCTATTTTAAAACAACCCCATTTTAGCTAACAGAGGGTATTTAAGTTAATTTTGTTGTGGTTTTTTTCTGTATATTTAATTTTTCCTGTTTCAAAAAAATTATTTATTGATGTCACTGTCCAATGCACAATGAAATTGGACAGTAGACCCCAGGTGCACCAACACATGCACACCATCAAATGAAGGAAAGCAATACATTTAAAATACATTGAAAATTGTCAGTGTGCAGCCTAAGTATAAAAGCTGTCCCCCAAGTGGTTTGTCCTAGAACTAATAGAACTAAAATGTCACCCTGAGGGTAACAGTTCAAACAAATGGTACCCGGGATACATGCTGTCTTTCATTATGTTTTCTGCTCTGCTACAACAACAAAAATTAGAAATGTCCTCCAAGGGAAGTGAGCAGCTGATTATATTCTGGGTGATTGCTATAATCCCTTGGAAGGCTCTCTTGTCTCCTGCCTAGAATCTGGCATACCAGACAGTGATACACTAGGCTAGCAAATTATCAATAGAGCAGCAGTAGAAGGCCAGCAGTGGCAGCACCCTTGATAAAGTTGTTGTTTTTTTTCCTGTTTTTTGTTGTTGAGAATTCTTAATAAATACTTACTGCACTACCTTCTTGACTAGTATGATGGTATTACTAGTCCAGGAGACGTCATCTGTAATACATGTGCCTAGAAAATTAATTTGATCCATCCTCTCCACACCATTCCTACTGATAACCAAAGAGACAGATGTGCTGTGGCACACATACTCACATATATACAGGGTGCAATTGGTAAATTGTCACTATTTTATATTTTTAATTTCGTGCATACACGTTGTTTATTTTTGATTTTGACAACTGCACATTATAGTAGGGTCAGTTGGGCACCATCTGTGAGAAAAAGAGCATCATGACACAATTCACTCTGCCAGAAATTTGGAAATAACATGCTGTACTGCATGGCATTCATAACATAAGCTCCAATAGGAACATTTCAGAATGTATGGTTGTCAATCTGAGAACAGTGCAGAGGATTCAGAAAGAATTGGATGAGTTTAATGGTGACTACAAAGGTGTTTGGAGCGATCACTAGTGATGGCAACATTATGCCTCCATTCATCTTTCTACAGAGCCTCAAACACAACACAGAGGCTGAAATCAAATGCCTTGAGGAGGTAGTGTTGCCCTGGGTTAAGAGGGTGGCTGCTGGATGACCCTACGTCTGGCAACATGACTCTGCACAATGCCAAACAAGCAGGAGAACCCTGTCATGGTTGTCAGACAATTTCTGTGACCACATCACCACTTGCATCTGGTCACCTAACTCCCCAGACTGCAACCCCCCTTGATTATTATGGGTGGGGTGCAGTTAAGTGAGAGATCAACAAAACTCCTTGTAAGACCAAAGATGAACTGAAGGCAACTTAATCAAGGAGACTGTCTAAAAGAGTTCCAGGAGATTCCAAAGCCATCTGGAGGCTGTGGTTGAAGCCAATGGCAATGTTCTTGAATAAATTTAACCTTTAGTATTTCAAGATATTTTTGTATAATTTTGGTAAATATATCTGTTAAAATGAGATATTTTCATCTTCACGTAATTTAGATGACAATTTATCCATTGTACTCTCTCTCTCTGTAGAGAGAGAGAGAGTACAATGGATCATAATATCAAATCCATAAGCAGTAAGGATATTCCAGCTAGGTCTTTATAATATAAAATATTAAAAAGATATATCCATGAAGAGAGCTCAATGTATCAAAATACAAAAGCAATATGATATATGTTAAAGGGAAAACTCAATTTATTGAGTTTTTCCTTTGATATATTTATATATATATATATATATATATATATATATATATATATATATATATATATATTATTATTATTATTTAAAAAATGTTTTCATCGCAGCACAAAAATTACTGTGTTTTGGAACTAAAAATTAAAATCTTTGTTCCATTTTCAAGAGATTTTTTTTTTTTTTTTTTTTTTTTCTAAGTGTTTCACCCCAAGCAAGGCGGGAAGCCACTAGGACGCAAGTGGTTACAGAAGATTTGGGCAAGATCAGATAGGAGTGATAGAGGAAAGGATGAGGAGAAGGATAGTGGATAGATCAAGGCAACTGAAGATGTCGATTGACATTACATTTGAATAGTTGGAGATTATAGCTCTCAGGGAAACTGGAATAGGGAAGGGAGTTCCACAGGTGAGAGGTGCGAGACATGAAGCTATTGGAGTAGAAGAGACGGCTACATTTAGTAGTTTCGACAGTGAAAGGGTGAGAGTGGGATGCCAGCCTCATATGGCGCTTGAACTCACGACGTCTGGGAACCAGCGAATGCAGCTCCTCGGAGCAATTGCCATGAAAGTATTTTTTTAAAAGACAGAGAGAGGCGATGACGCGTCTGTGAGAGAGTGACTGTAGATGAGATGCCAGAACAGGGTCAATTATATTGCATATCCGTCACTGGATCTTATCAAGAACCCCGAGGCAAACAGAAGGGGCTCCAGACCATATATGGCAGCAATACTCCATGCAAGAGCGAATTGTTGATTTGTAGATCTGAAGGATCGATTCCGGGGAGAAAAATTTCCTGACGCGGCACAGGGAGCCAACTTTCCTTGTGGTGGACGAAGCAATTGACTCAATGTATTTGTTCCATCTCAGGTCAGCAGTCAACGTGAGACCGAGCAGCCGCAGAGAGGTGCTCTCGAGAAGTTGAGCGTCAGACATTCTAATGGGGGGGGGGATCTCGGTGGTGATTAATAGAGAGCAGTTTTGTTTTTGAGGCATTAAAGTTGACCAGCCAATTCCTGCCCCAGTTCACTGAAGGTCCTTTTCAAGACACACGACCAGGTTAGTTTTGTCGCCGACACTAGATTTGTTTTTGAGGCAGGAGTAAATTGTGGTGTCATCCGCGTAGATGCCAACTTGGGAATTTATGGCATCAGAAAGGACATTTATGTAGATAAGGAATAGAGTGGGGCCTAGGGTGGAGCCTTGAGGAACACCTGCGTTTGTGGGATAGGAACTGGAGGAGAATCTGTTGAGAACGACCTTCAATTCACGGTTTGACAGGAATGATTGTATTAGGTCAAACAATCGGCCCATAATGCCATAACCCTGGAGCTTGTGAAGAAGAAGGCTGGCATGCCAAACCCTATCAAACCTTTTGGAGATGTCTTGAGCCACGGCACGAGCTTCCCCGTTATTTTGAAGAGCTTGGTAGACAGTTTCAGTGATGGCCGTAAGCACATCAGCTGTAGATCGGGCAAAGCAAAAGCCATATTGCTTGTCTGAGAGCAGATCATGGGATGTAAGGTGGTTAACCACTTCGGTATTGATTAGGGCTTTGAAGACTGTTGAATAACTTCAAAAAAATTATTTAATTTTGTGGAATGTAGTATTCTTGCCATGGTTGAAAAAAATTTTCCCCAAAATAATCCTCTTAGCAAGATTTTTAATAAAAAATACTCTTAAAATTAAGTTATAGTTGTACTGAAAATTTAGAAAAAGTTATAAAAAACACAATAGTAAAATATTTAAACCAGAATCAAAAAAATAGTGGTCAAGAAATGAGAATAAATAATAATAATGAAAAATTATGTAACTGTAGGAATTCCACAAATTGTCCATTGAATAATAAATGCCTTACAGAATCTATAGTTTACAAGTGTACTTTCTACTGAAAATCCAGATATTAAAAAATTTTATATTGGAAACACAAAAAATGATTTTAAATTAAGATGGTACCAGCACATGTCTTCCTTCAAAAACAATGAGTATCATAACCAAACATCCCTATCTAAATATTTTGGGCATTTAAAAGAAACAAATAAAAACCCCACTGTAAAATGGAAATTATTAAAAAAATGAGAACTTTTAAGCCCTTAAATGACCCATGTCCTTTGTGCCTACATGAAAAGTTATATATTATTAAGTTTCCTAACAAGATTTATTACATCAATGAAAAGAAATAACTGTTTTTGTAGGCATTGCATTATGTTCACTTTAAAACATAATTAATAAAACTTTCATAACAATATATCTATTATTTGAATACAAATAAATAAAAAAAATGTGTACTTAATTCATAAATTTTAATTTTAACAATGCCATATCTAATGTATCATTAAATATATCTAGATCTTTATAATTAAAAATATGAATATATAAAATATGATTTAATCATATTTAAAGCCCCTTTAAAACAGTCCCAATGTATTCAAAAAAATAAATATAAATAAAATAAATAAAAATGCCAAAATTAAGCCATTGTTCGATACATATCACTCCTTGAAATTTAATGTATCATATAAGTTCCTAAAAAAGGTAGACAGGATGACACGTTTCATACAGTAAAGCCCATATCTTTTAAACATCTTTTATACATCTTTTATTCAATATGGCAGACAAGGAAAATTTGATTAACTTTATGTTTAGTTTTTCAAGTGTTCTTATGTTTTTCTGTTTGATGGGATTAAGGGAGTACAAAAATGTTCTATGATGTCCACTGTCCAAAGCACTTTCAGCCACTTTAGCCATTTTCAAGGGGGTTTTGTTTTAGGTAATGTGATAATGATAAATAAATTTTTATATATCAAGAACTATTTCGGGGAAAGATGTATGACAAAGTGGAAAAGATATTTGTGTGACTTGTTTTGTCCTTTAGGACTTCATCACACTAGGTTTGTTTTCTACACATGCACACATATGAGAGACACTGGAAATTTTATGTTTCACCATTCTTGACGGATCTACAATATTTAATAACAAAGATGATAGAAAAAAAAAACAGAATCTAGATGAAATTGACTCAATTATATACACAAAACACATATTATATATATATATATATATATATATATATATATATATATATATATATATATATTCTAAATTTAATATTGCCATTGTCTCTCATTCTTTCACATGCGTAGTCACATCAACATAAACAAACTTAGTCCAATGAAGTCCTAAGGGATGAAACGCATCACACAAAAACTTTTTCCATTTTGTCATATATCTTTCCTATATATATATATATATATATATATATATATATATATATATATATATATATATTAAGGGCTAATGAGGACTGGCATTAAGTTGTGCTGATCTGAAATAGACTATACCCACATGAGGTTTTTATTTTTTTTTTTTTTTTTTTTGCTGTAAAAAATATATGAGATAACTATATATATTTTTATATATCAAGACCAATATTTCAGAAGAAAGTATGACAAAGTGGAAAAAATTTTCTTGTGATGCGTTTCATCCTCTAGGGCTTCATTGGATTAAATTTCTTATGTTGGTGCAACTACACATGTGCATGAATGAGGGATGCTGGGACATTATTAATTTTTTTTTCTTTTTTTAAATTTAATCAATTCCATTTAGATTCTTTTTCTATTCATCACTTTTGTTTTTTATATATATATATATATATATGTGTGTGTGTGTGTGTATGTATTGTATTATTATCCCTGTTGTATAAACATATGATTTGTACAAATTTCTTTTTAAATGATTAAAAAAAAAAATTATCAAAAGTCTTGAATGGTCTTATTTGAAAAATTGTCTGCAAATGTTTTGTCTGCTTTGTGAAGATATTGCATCAACATTTTATTTCTGTCATTTAAAATAAAATATCAAATTTTCTGTCAATTATCTTCTGTCTTAATTTCTGTTCTTTTATGGTTTTGTCTCCTTAATGTTTTTCTTTTTATCATATTCTTTCACACTCAGTAAACCCTTATGTCTGAGTGGTTTTATTATTTTATTACCTTGCTTAAAAAAAATGAAATTTATATATATATATATATATATATATATATATATATATATATATATATATATATATATATATGTGTATAAAATAAAAAGATAAAAGAACAGTAAGATATAAAATCCGGTGTTCTTATAGATATTTTATTTTTACAAAATAGTGCTCAATGTAAATTTACAGAGCATTAATATTATAAATTAATTGATTTAAAATATGGTTATTTTCGCTAAACATTTTCAACCATGTTTCAAAATATAAAAGCTAAAAAAAAAATTTTAATTTTAAAAAATAAATTAAAAAATTAGTTCCATTTCATCTTCAATAATTTTTTTTTTTTTTTTAAAATTCACGGGTTTTTAAATTCAACTAAAATCAGGTTTCCATGGTTAAAGAATATTCTCTCAAATTGAACAAAATGTAGATTTTCCTGATGACAATGATCATTGTCATAAGGAAAATTAGCTACATTTTGTTCAATTTGAGTAGAATATTCTGAAACCATGGACGTCAGTTGAATTTTAGCTGTGTATTTTAAAAAAAAAAAAAAAAGTTACGGTAAAAATTTTCAACGTCATCTTTTAAGATTAAAATTTTTTAATGCTTTTAATTTATTTGCAAAAAATAAAATTAGGGTTTTAGCTTCTATTTTGAAACATGGTTGAACTGTGTAGCGAAAATAACCATATTTTAAATCAATTAATTTATAATTATATATATATATATATATATATATATATATTCTGAGATGAGATATTGTAACTATTCACACTATTTACATTGTTCAAACTGTTGTCCTCATCTTTATTACCATATTCACAGTGTTTTAGGCCACTGTATGCTCTGGCCTTCTTCAGGGTCTGTTTATATTTCTAAGATGGGGTATTGTAACTATTTACACTATTTACATCATTAGGATTGTTGTCTTCATCTTTATTTCCATATTCATGACCTTTCCCCAAGGACACATAGACCAGTGGATTGGTTCAGTTATCCAAAAAGTGACTTGATGTTGTGCGTTCAGTACCTGGCCACAGCAGAGGGAACAAAAGACTTAGAGAGTTGAGGTACTAAAGGGAATTAACTGAAACTGAGAGATCCAAAAAAAGGCATGGCATGTGGAATTAGAACAAGCTACCACCATGAACTAAATAAAGGGTTTAGTTTCAAATTCCACTCTATATCACCTGAAGAAGGTTGGAGCGTACAACAATTGAAACATCGTGAATATAGCAATAACAACCAGGACATGTCTGAACAATTTAAATAGCGTAAATAGAATGTTTAACTTGCATAATTTTTATATGAAGAATATAGTTTTAATTATTTGTAAAAATAGGTATTTGTCATTGTGGTGTCTGAATGTCATTTTTTTTCTTTCTCTTTAGCAAAAATTGGAAAAGATGGAAAACCAGAGCCTTGCAAGCCTATAAAAAAAGTAGAATGGAAATCGGTACGGAGTGGGTAAGTATCTTGATAATGTGACCTTGAAAACATTTTCTGGATTTGTAAATATCCTTCAGAAACCTGATGATCAACTCGGTTCAAAACTGAATTTTTATCAATTGACTCATACTACCCAGTATAGAATTTTTTAAAAGTCATACATGATGTTTTCTCTTGTTCATCCTTAAATATTTGTTTCTAGACAATTATCTATTATCACCTTTTAGATATCCTAGCTGGCTAGGAAGTAGTAAAACAAAACAAAAAAGTTTATTGCAATGTTTATGAAAGATATGCAGATGACATTGTTGATGGCAAACTACAGGACCTAATAGACAAAGAAGTAAATGAAAGCAAGAAGTTAGGACCAATCATCAGTTGTAAGAAAAAAGAATTTATGGATATCATTGAGAGTAAAAAGTATGAGATGTGTTGAGATGTTGAGTGTTTCCGCGTACGTGTATTGAAATAAGGACAAACACAAACATAGGGAAAAATACTGGTATATCTGAAGAGGTATTTACAACAGAGAGATTAGTAGTCAAACGAACGCAGGTTAGTCAGTAACAATCAGAAAGAGTATAAAGTCCAACTGTATCTTCCGGTAGAGAGAGATGGAAGTGTGATGGTCACCTGATCTTACCAGAACTCTATAGAACTGTCCTATTAGTAGTAGAGAGATCAGTCCATTCTGATGAGAAGGTGGGTGCGCCCCAACAAGATGCAAACTACAAATTGTAGATATCAAGATCAAACAAGAATAGAAGTTTAATAATCTAGGAAGTGTCATAATGGAAAATGTGACGCCGAGATCCAAATGTGCATTGGAATAGCAAAAGATGCATTTCAAAAGCTAAGCAAAGTACTAAAAAACAGGAAAATTTCCTTAGACACAAAGAAAAGAGTACTGAACTGCTATGTAATATCAATTATCCTATATGGCAGTGAATGTTGGACAATTTCCTCACAGCTGAAGAGAAGACTGGAGGCAAGAGAAAGGATTCTCTGATGATACCAGAGCATATAATCAACAAGAAGGAAGATAGAAATGTAAAGGACACTTATACTCGGAATCAAAAAAGAAAAGAGCTGAAATTTTTTACCCACATTAGGAGGGTCCAGAGAAGAACACATCAAGGGTAAAAGAGACAAGGGGAGGCAGTGGTTGTGTAATTGGATGGTAGAACCAAAAAGAAGGGGATATGAAATATGCTAAAAAGACAAATGTTACTAAGAACTACAAAGTTGTGGAGAGCCATGATGGCATGCATCTTGAAGGGACATGTAACACAGAAGAAAAATATTTTATTTACACAAATTGCCCATAGTTATAATTCATCAAACATTTGAAACAACAGATTTCTCTTAAACTTATTAAATCTTATATGACAGTGTTTAATTTTGAAATTTAATTTAGAAAATTAAAATGAGCTATAATTATCAGCTTCTTCTGTGTCCTTTGTAGCTCTTAGCAATATTTACCTTTCTTCATTATCACTCCTAATCCCTGTTCTGCCAACCATTTTCACAAGTTCATTAGGTAGGTTATGCACTGCTTTCCTCTGTCCCTTTTGCTTTCAATATGTCCTGTGAGTATCAAATTTTATAAGTCCTCTTTCCTCACTATTTGCCCTAGAAATTTTAGCTCTGTCTTTCTGATGTTAAGTATAAGTGTTCTTTTTGTTTCCATTTTCCATAAGACTTCATTGTTGCTCATATGTTCAGCCCATGGTATTCTCAGCATCCTTCTATAGAACCATATTTCTGTTGCCTAAAGTCTCTTGATTGTACAACATTCACTGCTGTTATAGGAAGCCAATTATCAACTAGAGTGTAATAAATCCAATTTAAAAATGAAATGAAGGTACCATAAGGTAGAAGGTATTAGAGATGAAAGCTCCCTTGAACAGATCCAGATCCAGGATCTTCTCACTCCTTCAAGGAACCCTACCCTGATTGACCCTGTCTTTAGAGGTTTTTTTGTTCTGTACTCACCATGTTTAGTCAATTGTGGGTTGGTGAGGGCTTTAAATTTGTAGTTATCCTTCTAGACCAGTTGCCACCCAAGGCTATAAGAGCCAGTCAGTCCTCCTATTTACCCATAGCTGGGGGGGGGAGATTGATTCCTATCTTTTCCAAGGGTATTTGCATGAAAGTGAATATAGCAAACTCAACTGGAATTCTGATTCTTTGATCTGAGCCACTATCCATTACTCCACTGTGACTCAATTAAAAAATCGGAATAAAAAATAATTAAATAAGTTAAAAACTTAATTGTAATGTAATGCTGTTTCATTCCTTTGTCAAAATGAATGTCTTATTGTAGTTTATAATTATCTTTAGTTAGGATGAAAGTAACTGCAAAGAATATACTTGTTAGTGACATTTGGTTAGCAAGTGGAGTGGTTGATTTTTGTTTAGATGTTTATTCACATCATCTTTTGAACATTATGAATAGAAGCAACTTTATTTATTGGAATTTCTGCATGTTGAATAAATAGAATCAAGTGGAAGAAAAGGTAAAGTAGTGCATAAAATTGTAAAGCAAAATGTCATAAATAGTTAACAGTAAAAATAAGAAAGGAAACATCTTACAGCCAACTTGACCTTAAATTGGAGTGGAGTGGTGATTGTGGTGGAATTGGGTTTTTAACATTTTCTGATGAATGACACATGTTTAATCTGAATGTACTGATTGAACAGAAGTTAAGATTTCAGCTGATTATAGAATATTTTTAAATGTAGTTTCATTGTTGAATGAGATAGGTGGGGAGGGGAAGAGAAAAATTTAATGTATTCATTTTTTTTTTTTTTTTTTGTTTATCCTAAAATTTTCTAGACATTTTTTTTGTTTCTGCTGTTAGGTCGTCTTTTGAAGGATTATATAAACTGTCAATATGTTTGCAAATCTTAATCCTTTTTAAATAAGTCAACTGATTTTTTAATTTTTTTAAATAGGTATTGAAGAAATCAATAATTTAGAAGCTTTAACATCAATAATAAGAAATATCTTCAGAAGCTTTTAAAATGTAATGTACTCAGATGAGAGCATCCTGTTGAATAATTTTTTTTTTTTTGCATATATGCAACAAGTGCTTTGTAGTGTGTAATGCATTTCTTTCTGGATAAGTACAAAAGATCAAACAGTTATTTCTTGATTTACTCTTTTTATTATGTATTTTATCTGTAGACTTTGATAGGTTTGTTTTCAAGTCTTTATGCTTGAAGCAAACCTTCAGGCTCTTTTCCTTAACAGATTGAGGAAAAGAAATCTTGCCGTTCAAAAAGACGTTTTAAAATGCATAAAACAGCATAAATCATGCCAAAAGCTTTTATTTTTATCTTCTCACTGTAAAGGCAGACAATTACAGAATCTGTTTATTTGACATTACATTTTATGCTTAAATCTTCACTTTCTCTCTATCTCCCACTCTCTGTATATGTCTACTTCACTTTCTTCCTTTTTTAACTCCTTCTTTACTTTTCCAAATTTCTCCTCCTTCACCACCACTGTTATTTTTTTTCCTTTGCATAAATTTCTTGTCTCCAACCTCTTGCATCTTGAGCAGAACTGTAGAGAGGAATTCTCTGCAGCTATTAAGATGCCACTGTAGAAGGTTCATTGTAAATGACTAGATCAAATTCAACATGGTTTGAATTTGTGGGGCATGTGTTAGGAAGTTGATATCTCTCAAAATTATCACTGAAATAGTGTCTGTTGGGGGCTTATGATCTTACCTGTATTGATAGAAAACTTCCCTCAAATTTCCTACAAGTTTAAACTCTATTCTAGTTATTTGATTGGTTTCCTGACTGGGTCTGGTCTTTCTTACCCTGTTTACCTGACTAGGTCTGGTCTCTGTCTACATCTCTGAGATGAGATATTATTATTATTTGATGTGAATATGGCAATGAAGATAAAGATAACTGTCCGAATAATGTAAATAATATAAGTAGGTCTGGTCTGTCTTACCCTGTTCACCTCAAAAACTAAAATTTTTCTGGGTTTATTTAAAACAAACCTACCATTTTCACTTCCAAGTTTAATTACTGAAGAAGAGCCCTGTTTGCTTACAAGTTGGTAGCACATCACTAAGTCAAGTAAATCCAATTTGGCTTTCCTCCTGATTTGCCTTTGCAAATAATGGATTCAAGATGTCCACAAAAAAGCCTCTAATAAAATAAGTTTTGTCAGAAGTGATCAACTCATCATATATTAGTCCTTTTTTTTAATAATTTTTATTCTATTTTTTCTCCTTTCTTTACTATCTACAATACCAAAACTTGAAAGAATGATTTCAGTGTATACTTGGACTGTCTCAGTTTATGAATAATTTAAATGTAATTAGACATAGATATTTATTTTGTAAGATATTAGGATTAAATGATATTGATAAGCTTATCATATAATGCATTAATGAATATATATCTTGTGCTAATATAATAATTTATTTTTTATACCCCCCCCCAAACCACCACCAACAACAACAACTTGGGGCAGATAAAAAATACCTGATGGATATCTTCAACTTTTGTCAGATTGAGGGCTTATGAAACAGATATTTGTATTTAAGATATAAAAATGGAAATCTTTAATATAGAGATAAGGTTGTTAAAATCTCCAGAATTAATTATAAAAGAAGTGATGACTTTCATATAATATTCAATAAATCAAGAAAAGTAACTTATCTGATTGATTGACTCAAGAGTTTTGAAACACTCATTGGAGCCAGATGTTCAATAAATCAATTTTAGCAAATATTTGGCCCTGATGAGCATTTCAATGCAAAACTATTGAGTCTGTCCCTCATATAAGTCACTTGAACTTTTCTTGATTTATTAAATATACCAAAACTAAAAAGCCAAAAATATCTAGTTAATCTATTGAGTGTTTTTTGACAAAAGTTCTGCTAACCTGAAAAATATTTTAAATTCCCATAATTTAAATTGTTTTTGGTTGTATTATCATTATTGTTGTTAATATCATAAAAAGATTTTAGTTTCTTTACAAATTAAGACATTTAAAATAAAGTGTGTATATATATATATATATATATATATATATATGTGTTTTTTTGTGTTTGTATAAGCATTTCCTTTTCTGGAAATAAATTGTGCAAAAACTGTCAGAATGTTTTATATATCCAAATGCTTTTGGCTATTTTTTTTCTTTTGTTTTTAACTGAATGTGTAGTATTTTCTATATGTGTATCGAGAATGATGTTATTGAATTGTTTTTGGCTTTTTATTTTTTATTAATGCTTCCATTATTTTTAGCTTTTTTTGCATATGGATGAGGCAATTACAGTTGTATTTTCTACAAGTATGTTGTGGATGGAGTTTGGTAGGTTTCTGTGTGTGTTTAAATGACTCCTAATTGAGCTATGGCCTGAGAGATGTAACATGAGCCTTCTTGATAGGCGTGTAGTGGTATGTCCAATATAATTATTCATGAATTTAGTTTTATAAGAAATGCAGTTCCTGAAGGGACATATGAATCCATAAATAATATCATTTCTCTGTAATTTGGATCTTGCAGGTCAGTTGTTGTTGATGATAATAAAAACATCCTTAATATCTCTAATAGAATAGCTGAAAGTGCTCAGGTATATATATAGAACATTTGAACAATTTTTACACACTTTATGTCCAGAAAAGAAAAGATTTATACAGGCACAACAAAAATTGAATAAAAAACTTAATCACAGTACCTTGTTGATTGCCTTTAATGAAATAAATATATACACACACACACACAATATATATATATATATATATATATATATATATATATATATATATATATATATATATATATATATAAATAATGTCTTGTCAGCTTGGCTCTAAAATATGTAGTAGGTTAAGATCTCACATGAAAAAAAAAAAGAGAAGGGTCACCTTGTTACTGTAGTTGATGGGATCAGGAATTGAATAAGATATTTATGACTTTCAACACACCTCTTTGGCTCATTATGGACTAGAGAATGGTTCATAAGTGCCTTATTCAATCAATCAGCTTGTCATATGAAACCCTAAGTTGGCATTTCTTATCCCTTCTACAGTGTCTTCATATTTTTGCTCAGAATATGTTGCATATATGATCTCTGAAAAAATCTCACTTGGAAGGCAGTGGCTGTAGGATAAAACATTGGAATGTTTTGACATTGCTGTATTTCCTTTTAATGCTTGCGTAGATGATCTTATGGTTTACAGGTGCTCAAGATTCCTTTCATATGTTGGATATGCTATGTGTATAGCTCTGTTATGCCAAGGTAAATAGGTTTATTCTTTGGCATTTCTCCTTTTCAAACTATGTAGCAGGTGGGGAGTGGAGCTAATGAATTTTCCTTAATATCACACTGCTCCTTCTAAAACCTCCAATAGATGGCATATAGAAACAGATTCTGACACTAATTTAAGCAGAATGGCACTATTTAATCTTCATGCTTACAAAAAAATAGTATGATTATTCTTTTGACATCAATTTTACTGCATACATTTTTAACTCCCTCGGTAATATCTATTTACAAGATTATAAAAATATATATTATTTACCTTTTATAAAGAGATAAATCTTTTTATTTAAAAATTTATAAATTATTATATTATTTATGGTTATCACAATTTGTAAGCGGAAGAGATGCTCTTAACCTGTTTCAGTGAATTTATGTTGTGAGAGCAAATTAAAGAATTTTCCCAGTGTACTGAGGAGTTTAAAACTTTTCATTTGTACCTTGGATAAAATCAAAACCAATCTAAAAGAAATAGAAAAAAAATTTCCATAAACATTTCCATTGAGAAAAATGGCCAAATCATTCATACAAATACGTGCATTTTCCCTATTTAAGATAGTGAAATTCTACTATAAACCCCAAATATGTTACTCTAAAGTAGAAGCATACAGCCCCAATCCACTCAGCTACTTCAACTGCCATATGTTTGGACATCATAAAGATGAATGCACTTAAAGCCCAGTGTGCACAGAGAAAAGCTGAGACCAATCAGAATTGAACTGGAAGCAATAATTGAAATGTGAAAACTGTAACAGAAATCATTCAGCCAATTGAAAAGCATGCAAATCTGGGAGAAGAGAAAAGGAAGTCATTAGAATGAAGTACACTTGGAATATCTCATTTTGCAAAGCCCATACAAACTACCAACTCAATGAACTGAGGTCTATGATAACATCCAAATCAATCTGTTCGTTAGAACCAGAAACTTTTATAGAAACTAATTACAATAATAATAATAATAATAATAATAAAAACACTAACAGAATCTTCCCTACAAGTAACCATTTCTAAAGATGCCTAGAAATCTCTTAATAGAATAGAGACTTCCAAGCGGAAATTACAGGGTTGTCCAACCCAATCATCTCTATCTACAGTCAATGATCCTAAGGAAAAGATCCCCAAAGAGGCATGAGCTTCTTAAGCAGAGATGCCAGAGCAAATTGTGCCAACAGTCTACTCCATAACAAAATACACAACTTGTAAATTCCAAAGACTCTTTAAAAACAAATCATTTCTAGAAAAGATAACAACAAAGTGTAATTCCATATCCCCAAAATACAATCTCATCAAAATAACTTATCAAGAACTGTTATGTTTAATCATGATCTATAAAATTACTTAGTGGAATTTTTGTGAGTCATAATCAATTATTTTTGCTTGTGTCTTGCCATTGTTTGCTTACAAAAGACTGAAGCAAAATTAATCTGGATAATAAGCAATTGTTAATGCAACTCATCAGAGAACCATTAATATTTGTTTCCTATGTATCCTGCCACAATTTCTCATAAACTAAAAAGAAATTTAATGGACTACTACAATAGTCTCCTAAACTTCTTTTTTGGCGGGTGATTTTAATAGTTGTAACATTACAAAGGAATGTCATAACATAAGCTAAAAAGGCAGAATTTTATAAAATATTTTAAAGTCGTAATTTATGCCTTTTCAGTAACTACCAAATATTCATCTAATTTCTGGTTATTTATTTGTCTTTATATGATCCTTGAATTTACATAGATGGAAAGTACATGATGATTCCTGTTTTAGCATGTTCAATATATTACATTGTGAAGCACCTGATTGAATACAGTTATCTTGCTTCTGTCAGACACTGCTTTTATTATCTAAACAGTTTGAAAGAATTTTTTTCATAGTCATTATTCATGATATTTTGTTTTTCCCAAGGGAATCAAATCTCTACTCAAAATTATAAGTTTTAACTGAATTATAAAATGACTCATCTCAATTTTGTTTTTACAATATAGCTACTCTTTTTTTTCTTTTTTTTTCTTCTCTTTTTGCATTGAATAACCCTAGATGGGTTGATATGCCACTAAACCTATACAAAATTTTATTTTATTAAAACTTGATTTCATTCTTTTCAGGGAACCCCTCATCATTTTCTCTGGTGGGATGCCATATGATAAAGTTGGCCGTACCCCCAGCATCACTGTGATGAATGGAAAAAGTATCACAGTTCTTGAAATGGAGCATAACATTGTGGATTTTGTTGTTTTATGTGAGACTCCTTGGCAGAATGGTATGTGACTTGACATTTCCTTTTTTAACAAACTACTCAACCTAATTTTTTTTTTTTTTTAATTATTCAAAGTTGAGAATTCAATAGAAAAATACCAAAATGGTTTGGAAGCCGATATTTAGATTCTCTTGCTTTACTATTGATTTCTTCATAACATTCAATAATTTTTATTTCGGATAAAAGTTTTTAACATGAATTTTTTAAGATTTCTGACATGTTTAAGATTTGATACAAACATTGGTTAAATTTTTTTAATTTTATCTCAGCTTTATAATTTTTTTTTTTCTTTCTTTTTTCAAAAGTCTTTGTTATTTTCTATTTTGAGACAAATTCTGTAGATATTCATTATTCAAATTATTGAAGCTGCAGCAAGGATCTTGGAATGATCATAATGACTTCACAGTATTTCAAATAATATATTTTATTCAGACAATATTGAAAAGAAAATTGAGCTAAGAAAAAAAAAGCTTTAGTTCTTTTTCTTGGGTGATTAAAACTATACCATGCTCATATTCCTAGATGTATTACATTGTTATTGATGATAATGTCAATGTCACTTAAAAATGATGGTTTATTCAACAAATTTCAGAAATCCATTTAGTTTCTTTCCTGACACAATTTTTTTTCAGTTGGGCACTGTCTATGAGAAAAAGAGCACCATGATGAAATTCATTCCATCAATAATTTGCAAACTGCATCCTGTACTGCTTCGCATTTGTACCAGAAGCTCCAATATGAAAATTTCAGTGTGTTTGGGTGTCAATCTGAGGACAGTGCAGAAGATTCAGAAAGAGTTGGATGAGTCTAATGGTGATTACGAAAGTGTTTGGAGTGATGCTGATGTTATGCCTCCATTCATTTTCCCACAGAGCCTCAGACTCAACACAAAGGGCCACATCGTGCTTTGAGGAGGTAGTGCTGCCCTGGGTCAAGAGGATGGCTGCCGGATGATCCTATGTCTGGCAACAGGACTCTACACCATGCCACACAATCAGGAGAACCCAATCATGGCTGTCAGACAATTTCTGCAACCACATCACCCCTAACACCTGGGCACTTAACTCCCCAGACTGCAATCCCTTTGATTATTATGTGTGGGGCACAGTTGAGTTAAACAAAACTCCTAGTAACACCGAAGATGAACTGAAGGCAAGGATTATAAACGCATTCAACAACTTGAACAAGGAGACCATCCAGAAGAGTTGCAAAAGATTCTGAAGGCTGTGGTTGAAGCCAATAGTGATTTTATTGAATAAATTTACTCTTTAGTATTTCAGAATACTTTTGTGTAATTTTGGTAAATATATCTCAAAATGAGATGTGAGTGTTATTTTCATTTTTGAGTAATTTTGATGACAGTTTATCCATTGCACTCTGTATATAGAGACATTAATATTTTCCTTCCTCAGATATACTTTATTTGAAACTTCTGCACACACACACATATATATATATATATATATATATATATATATATATATATATATATATATATATATATAGTAAATGTTACATTTTTGGGATATTATTACAAATGTGACAAGTAACCTAAAGTTTCATTTTGTTAGAATTGATTGACAGACTATTAAAATGTGGCTCTCTCTGCAGGATATTGGGTACTGTATTCAAAACATTCAATGATAACCTGCATTTAATTAAACTTGCATCTCATTTTGTAATGTTTTATCAGTTTAAAGTATCTTAAAGTAAAGCCACCTTATCATATCAATTCCTCACATTCATTTTAACTGCAAGAATTTCTCTTTTCTCTGCCAAAGTTACAACAGTTGTGTGGTTTGTTGATATTTTTTCAATATCAGTTTCATCTTTCTTATAAGTTGCTTAAATTCATTTTTTCCATTATTTATTTTTCAAGAATTTAGATATTGTCGGGAAGAAAAGGAAAATGTCATTTCCATAAAACAAATTGGCTGGTTACCTTATCCATTTAGATATTTATTTTCTTCTCTTTTGAGTGTTTGTTTTTTAATTTGCTTACCAGTCGTTTTCTTCCTCATGACTACTTATATCAGTAGACATCTTCTGTAAACTACTTCAGAAAAAAGGAGAAAAAAAAAAACAATATTATATTGAGCTGCAATGTTTAACTCTTGATGTTTACTCCCCAAACTAGTGCCGACAAGTTATTTAGATTGATCCTATACTTGAGCCGGTCTAAGGCCCAAATGAGATGAGATGTCAAACAATGTTTCTAAAGCTGGAGATCCATGTAATCCCTTAATCAAATACACATTCAGAAGAAGAGCTTTTTGATAAATCAATGAACAGACATCTTGCAATTGTTTGTGTATTGTCAAATAATCTGGTCTCATTTTCCACCATTACACTATCATATCTTTTCCTAATCTGGCTCAAACACTACATAAACTGAATGGTCGAAGCTGTTCTCTTGTGTTTCAGCTTCCACTCTCTGCAGATAGATGATAGCAGCTTTCTTTGTATTCATTTTGAATTTCTTTTGTTTCCAATGACTTAACTAGTTCTGCCATCAATGTACCATTCAAGTCTTAAGTAATTTCACAGTAAAAGCTTTATAGGAACTTGTGTAACTCATCCACCCAAGGTGAAAAATTATATTTTTAACCTTATTCTTTATTATTTTTCTGCTCACACAAGGGCATTTCTATCTTTGCAAGTGTCTGTAAAACTAGAAAAGCATGCATAAATTCATGAACTCTAAGCATTCATTTTAAAGTCTATAAATTGGTACTTAAAATTTTATATTGAAAATATATATATATATTAAATACCGTAGTGTCCCAAATCAAGGAACAAAAATTAAAATATCTCAAAAAATATAATTCCAATTTTTCTGAAAAATGTCATGGATAGGAATCCATCAGATGTCAAAGATCTATAGGGAAAATTACAGGAAGAATAGGCTAAAATTACACTTGACAAATGTCAAAATTAGTGAAATCCTGTGTATACAGATGTGCAGCAGTGTTTCAAAACAAGGCTCTTAGCAGTAAATATTGATAAAACTTTTTTTGCATTTTGTTGTCCACTTATTTTTTTTATTAAAACATTGTTTTGTTCCTTAATTTTGAACACTTGATATTTGAGTAAATAATTAATTGAATCCTCTCTTTCTCTCTCTCTCTCTTTCTCTCTCTCTCCAAATATCTTACAGATTTAAAGCACAACTGCCATTTAGTGAAAATTTCAGAAAAATTGGTCTTATATTTTTTGAGATATCAAAGTTTTAATTTTTGTTTCTTAATTTTGGACACTACTGTATATTCTTTTAGATAAGCTTAAAAAAATAATTGCTCTTTGTTTTCCATTAAGAGCAAAACAACATTTTATTCATTAATGTTAACAAGACACAACTGAAAAGATTTTTTAATTATTTCACTCACCCCAAGCAAGGCAATAATACCACTAAAACACAATGGGTTACTGAGTGTGAAAGAATGAGAAAAAGAAAACATTAAGGAGAGAAAACACAAAAAGAACAGGAATTAAGAAGACACAAGATAATAATTGATATTGCATTACAATTTTTGAAGATCGAAGTTGGCTGGAAGAGTTTCACAAGTGAGAAGTGCAACAGAAGAAGCTGTTAGCATAGAACTTATGGTTACATCTGGCCATTTCAACTGTAAAAAATAATTTAAAAAATTGAGCTAACAGGAAAGCTGGTGTTATTTTACATGAATTTTTATCAAGATTAATTTCTGTAAAGATTGAAAATTGAAATAAAGAGATTTGGGACTTAAATTCTTGTTTAGGTTACCCAATTAAATTATTTATTTTCTTTAATTTAAATTGTGAATTCAAACATAATTATCTTTTGGTTTGGAATTTTTCTTTACCATTTGAGATGAAAATTGTTTCTTTAACTAGCATCCTTATCTCATGATGACACAACCAAAAGAAAATTAGAGATGCAAATACTTTGAAGAAGCTAAGATCTTTTCATCTTAGCTGCATATAATGCGCTACACTAGTGGGTATTCAGATTCTGGCAACAACAAAAATCTGTTGTCAATTAAGGTTGTCAATCTCTTCCTTCTTTTAATCTTTTTTTTTTTTTTGTGATGTCAAGAATCAATGTCAAGTTATGTTTTGACAGTCATGAGTGGAATTTGGCACGTCTGAGACGAGTCAGCTTTTCAAATTAATGCTCTTTTGAAGTTAATCCAGTCAACTAATCGAAAAAAACAATTATCTTTTAAAATAGTTTTTTTTTATTCTTTAACTGTACAATTGAAATGTCTTTTATATTCATTCTTTAATTTGAAGACAAATGTAAACATAAATGGCATATATTTTCCATATAATTCCCACTGAATTGTCACCAAAGCATTTCTAATACTTATGCATATTTGTCATAAGATATCTTGGATATTTTACCACCTGATAGCATTGTTCTCTTGTAGAATAAGCAAGTTTGTTAAGCATACTTGACAAAGTTCTCAATAGATAATTGGCAAAATTCTCAATAAGTGAAATTGACAAATTTCTCAATTACCAATAATAAAAAGAGGGAGGAGAAAAAAAGAAGAGGGCAAAATAATATGAGGCATGTATAATGCAAGTCAAAAGCAAAAAGCAGAAAGTTCACAAAATAGGAATTGTGTTCACATGCCAAAGGGATACAGTCACATGGTCATAGCCTTCTGACTTCAAGGCAGGTAAGACCAAGAATTCTATTTCTTCTTTTTTTTTTTCTTTTTTTTTTATTGGTTGATAAGTAACCTCATCATGCATCTGTAGGATTTGTTTGTAAATTTAGGGAGGGTATGTTTTTAGCAGTCATTCCTGGAGATTGTTACCACCAAATTTGATAGCATCAATTTTCTTTTGTATTTGTGTTATTTTCTGTAAAATAAGCATTGTGTGTTTAATAAAAATATTTCTGGTTACTTTTCATTTTCTTAAAATAAAAAATCACCGCATTAAGTACATTTTGACATTTGCCTTCAGTATGCATGAGCTCCTGGAATTGTAGCTACATTTAACATTATATATAA